GCCTCGGAAATTTAAAATATCACACAATTCAGAACCCAGGACTACTCAAGAAAACTGCGACATTCTGGACCGTGTCCGCATAGCCGGCCCATCCGCCAGTGGCAGAACAAGCCAAGAGACACCGGCCGGTGGAAGGAATGGGCCAGGAGAGGGCAGGACAGCCGGATTCGGCGCAGGTGGGCACAGCGGGACAGAAACCTCCTCCAGTCCTTCTGTCTCAATTAAGGGCGATGTGGGCGGCAAAGAAACAGACTTCGGAAGATCACCTTGCACAGGGGCAGCAGACCTGTTGGCCACGTCAGGCACCGGGATTCTGGGATTTTGAGATGACGATGGCCCAACGGGAGCAACAAAAAGTTTCATTCGCTACGGGTGAACGAACCAACGCCGGCGACCAGTGGCGAACGTGGGCACACTGAGGACGCAAAACCTCGACAATCGTCACAGGGCCCTGCCATGGTTTGTGGAGTTTGGGAGAGGTGCCCATGGACACCTGGGGGCAATGGAGCCATGCCGTATCCCCAACCGACCATGGCATGTCGGTTTTAGATCTCTGCGTACAATGCTCATTCCGAGCCTGGGTCTTAGAAGTATTCAGTCTGGCAGCCTCCCACGCCTCCGAAAGGTGCCTAAGGGACTCTTGGATGTGGTCAGAGAGAGTCGACGTAGGAGGTCCGACCGGGGAACCCAATTGAACATCAACAGGCAGCACGTTCTCCCTCCCATACATGAAGAAGAATGGCGAATATCCCGTCGAAGCGTGAGGCGCCATGCGGTAGGCCGAGAGGACGCAGTATCTGCAGATCCCAGTCAACCTGCCGCTAATTAACTGTCTGGCACAACATTGCGGACAAGGTACGATTTAACTGCTCAACCATACCATCCGTCTGAGGGTAGTATGGAGACGTAGAGATCTTACGTGTAACCAAAGCAGTACACACGTCACACAACAGCTTCAAAGTGAAATTCCTTCCCTGATAGGTGAGCAACTTTTCCGGCGCCCCTTTATCCATCACATAGCCATTCACAAAGGCGTCAACGATGGATAAAGTGGATTGATCTGGCAAGGGCAACACCACAGGCCAGCGGGAAAAATATTCCACGCCGATGAGAAGATATTTATTCCCACGAGGCGTCAAAGGGAACGGGCCCAACCCATCTAGGGCAACCAATTCATTGACGCGCATGACAGAGATGGTATGTAAAGGTGGAATGTAATGCTGCCGGGCACACTCAGTGCACGCTCGAAGTGCACTAATGATGTCAGATGTCATACCCGGCCAATAGTAATCCCTCTGAAGGGTATATGCTATCTTGCCACATTAATAACCCCTCATGGGCAAAAACCCGACCCTCCTTGCCAGATCCTGACTCACCCGCGAGCGAGCCAGCGAAATCAATATGGGCCCCGACGCACGAATATCCCCAATGGCGATACACGCGTCAACCTTGCCAATGATGCCAATACTACCCCCGTTAGCCGCAACACAAACATCATATACCGGGCGAACATTCGACGCAGGAATCGACAACAATTGAAAAATAACATCGGAAATGATCGTAGCAGATGCCCCCGTGTCAACCAAAACGCGTACATCAACACCCTGAATGGTGTCAGCGACTGTCGATGATCCCATCGCCGCAGCAACAACCCTACGAGCCAATTTCCTCCATTGTGTCTGCGAAGCCGGCCACCTCTTAGCAACGGTACCCGAGGCCGATCCATACACACACATCGAGTCGCACACACATAGACTGATACACATGTAATGAGTGGCTCCGACACGGTAGAACTTCAAGTTATTTACTAATAAATTCTTCGGTACAGCTTCAGGTTCTCTCTTTCGCTGTGGATGTTAGCCACTCGGGTGGCTGCGCTGCCCCGTGCCACGTGGCGCTCACCAACACGCCGCTAGCTGACGGCGCGCTGGGAGCGGCTGAGCGGCTGAAAGTCGAGCCGCCATGTGGCAGGTGGAGGTGGCGGGGTAGCAGCGACGGGGAGCTCCTCTTGATCTTCACACGCCAACCCCACATGCTGCTGCGCCCCTGGCTTATATTCACCCCCCGGTGACTAAGCTCCGCCTTCAATCCCACGCCTGGTGATGCACGTTATCCACCCAGGAGCGCCTCACAGAGGCTTGTGTTGAACCAATGTTGCTAAATCCATAATATATGTTTTTTGGGTTAGATCGCGTAAATATAAGTGTATCGTTAAACCGGCATCACCTGACACAGCTAATTAGTAAGGTTTGTCACATAAACAGAACATGCCAATTCGTTACTAGTCCAGCACACTGGTGTGTTGGTAAGCAAATCCACAAAAATTATAATTTTAGTACGATGTTTCGCTAGTAATTACAACTAGCATCATCAGGCGGACTGCCAGATTTGTGGAGAATCATATTTCGTTCCTGAAATAGAGGGATAGATGTGATGGCGTCACTTGCGAGCCCTTCACGTGTGAAGGGAGGGATTAATGAATCTTATCTATGCCCCACCCCCTCTCTATCCTCCCGCCGCCGATCTCCCCCTGCGCAGCAGTCGTTTATGACTCTTGGGCTACGCCCATTTCTACCCTTGAGAAGCAGCCTGCATCAGCAGCTTGCCTCCTACCTTATATAACCTCTTGTTGCAGCAGCTCTTTCTCCTTTGTCAGCAGTTCCCCTGCTGTGTTGGTCTCACCTGATGATGGTTGCGTGTGTTGCGATCGAAACGTCGTGATCTATTATTTTTCTACCGACGTGACTTTACCGAAATAACCAAAGAGTATGAATGCATCTTCTTGGTTCTTTCGGTAAAGTCACGTAGAAGGAAAATAATAAAATAAAACATAATAAAATAATTCTCACGACGTTTCGGCCACAACGCAAGCAGCCGTCTTCAGGTGGAGAACATGTCTGTCAAGGAGACAGAGTCTGAATGCTCTCCTTGACAGACCTGTTCTCCACCTGAAGACGGCTGCTTGCGTTGTGGCCGAAACGTCGTGAGAATTATTTTATTATGTTTTATTTTATTATTTTCCTTCTACGTGACTTTACCGAAAGAACCAAGAAGATGAATCCCTGCAGTCACGAAAGCTTTAAATCGAAAAGTATGAATGCATATAAATTATGTTGCTGAACTTGTGAACTCCCAGAAGGCCGTGTAGCTGACAGGTTGTGTACAAAAATGCGTGGGGTGACATATAATAGGAAGGAGGGAAAGTGCCGACTTATTCTGTTGCTTATGTTCTCAGCAAAGATGCTTGTGATTACTCTGTGTTGTATATCAGATGATTTTGCATTGAGCTTTAAAAGAGGGTCCCTGCCTAAAAACATCTGGAAGTTCACCAGCATTGGTTCAAGCAGAGCCTGACTGAATATTGAAGCCGTTTTTTATTGTGTTGAACCAACGCTGCTGAAGTTATACCCTCCCTGAAGGCCATGCGCCTGATGGGATTTGTATAAAAACACTTATTACACGCTTTCTTTTAACTCACTCTGTCTGTTGTTGTTGTCGTTGTTATATCCTCAAATCTTGTAACTCAATTTTAACCCACTTCCCAATGTGGTATCGACTGCAAACTTGGTATACTTATGTCATACTGATGACAATACTCATAATCAACGTTTTTGGGTTTAGATCGCGTTATTTATAAATGTGTCGTAACCCTCCACCACCCGACACGGCCAATCAGCGAAACGTCGTACTCAAATTGTAAATTGTTGTGGTTTCACGCTTCAACACACCGGTGGGCTAAAGCAGTGAACTAATTGTCTTTTGTCAACGTGACACTTTTTTACTGATTGGCCGTGTCGGGTGGTGGAGGGTTACGACACATTTATAAATAACGCGATCTAAACCCAAAAACGTTGATTATGAATAATATTGGTCGCGAAAGCCTACGTGTTAAACTGATGACAATACTATATTCTATCATAAAAAAATAAAAATATATATTTTTAAACTTTATTTTTTATATGTTATGTTTCGGCTTGGGTCTAATTGTCCATGGTCAACTGACATTGCCTGTAATTGGCCATGGTTCCTTATGCTATGGCAAGCTTCGGGGCCACTTCCTGGAGTCGTGGAGTTCTGCCATTACTAGTACATTTCATAAAAGCATGTTTAAAAAAAAGTATTTTTTTAATATTACTTTTTTTTTTACATGAACCTCAAGGCAATGTAGGTAGAGGCCTGCATTGCGATATTTGTTCCCTTTATAATGACCATTGACGAGCAGCTTGTGGGAGGAAACCGGAGATGATGCTTCACCTCGCAGCTCCACAGACACAACACAGCACCTCCCCAGCCTCGGAGGCAGTCACCTGCACGTTTGATACATACCAGCCTCAAACCCTGCTCGGACGATTTTGGTTGATATGGGAAGGCACATTTTGATTGCCCACGTAGCCCCCCCGTGGGCGTTACGCGAGACGAATTCTGCCCAGGGGTCCGTGTTGTCAGCCTCACTGGCAGTGATCATTGGCCAATGATCTCTGATGGCCACATTGGCTGAGAATGCAGCATGTGAACCTGAAGTGCAGACATCATACGATTAATAAATTAGTGGCACGGGTTAGGCCACAATGGATTTGACCAATTTGTGTCTTGAAAACCCTCCACCACCTGATATAGCCAAAGAAAAAGTAATGTGTACTCGCGTTTAACAGGGTGCCGATTATTTTTTCCTCTGGCTAATACCGTTAAAGTTAGAGAGCAATTCGATGAAAAACGTTTCACTAGAAACTTCGTCTTGCATCATCAAGACAAGATCCAGATGAACAATACAGAAAGTCAGAATATCACATCACCCTTGAATGGCCTAAACGAAAAATCTATTGTGAATAGCATACGCGTGCAGTCTAGCACACGTGTATATAACCTGGCCGCCTGGCTGTTGTGCTTGACTGTTGCACGGAGATTGTTTTCACCATTGTGGGATCCCCCCCCGCGCCGAGTCCCGCTCCCTGGTGCGCTGTTGCTGCTGCTGGTGACATCTGCTACTGCTGCCACTGTAGGTGCAGAACGAGGAGAGCACGCTGCTATTCATCGTGACGTGGATGGTGACGGAGATCGTGCGCTACTCCTTCTATACGTTCACGCTTCTGCAGTACATCCCGTACTGCGTCAAGTGGGCGAGGTGTGCGCCACACTCTCCTGAGCCTCCTCCAGCGTGGCTTGTCACAGGTTACCGCGAGCCAGTTTGAGGAGACTGTGAGAGTTGTGGAGTCTGTCACCTCTTGATTTGATTTGAGTTTGTTACCCCATTGGGTTGTTGTATTACATGTGCGCTATCCAGGAAGTTATAATATCAGATCATCATTATGTTGCCAAATCTATACATTGCATTTGTAAATAAAGAGCACTGCTCGACTGGAATTCTCTCCCACTATCGCATTTCTCGAGCTCGTAAAACCATGCTGTATTCAACGAACCTCTTAACTCTTACAACAATAATCGCGCTGGTTATTGCTGGCCGCTTGACAGTATTGATCAGTGTCCAGCAACTGTGAAAAAAAACGAACCGTAACATTCTTCGTCTCATCAGCAGTCAGGCTTGTTAACAAATGCTGCATGGATTAGCAAGACGACTCCATATAAACTATGGAACTCCCGATGTGCGCAATGTTCACCATATTGTACAAAAACTCGTCGTGTGTTGCGATAGAGCATTACGGGTAACGGTGGTGAACAACAAGCGAATTCATGCACGACACCGGGGGCAGCGCCTGACGCCCGCGGCATCTAGCGGCTGCACAAGTGCTGATGAGCCCCCGTGTGTGCAGATACTCGTTCTTCATTGTGCTCTACCCGTTGGGTGTGCTGGGCGAGCTGCTGACGATCCACGCGGCGCTGCCCCACGTGCAGCGCAAGGGGCTCTACTCCATCACGATGCCCAACGCGCACAACTTCTCCTTCGACTACCACACCTTCCTCATTGCCATCATGATCGCCTACGTGCCTGGTGCGCTTGGCCATCACAGCTGGGTCTGGCGGATAGCAGTGGGGGCATGGAAGGGGTGCTATACCGACAAGGTCAAATCAATCAGGTCATCCCGCACACGAGTGCCTCTCACGTGACCGCATTCCCTCCAATGTTAAATATTGCCGTGCACTCCAGTAGTGACCCCTGTGCCTCAGCAAGAAGCCCCTGGGGTTGATTCCACCAGAAATGGGCCACTCTCTGTGGAGTTTGTGCTTCTCTTCCTCTGTTCTGCATGGGTTTCATCTGGGTTCTGCGGTCTCCTCTCATTGCTAATCCCATACACAACATAGTCACTGGTATTGGCCAAAGTGTCTCAATGCTGAAAAAGTACTGTACCTGCAAATTACTTCAATTGGGATTACGCACAGCAGTAGCAGTGCCAATATTGCCCACTTACAATGAAAAACTTGAGACTCAGTGAGGCTTTCCTGGATAAACAAGCATCATAAGAATACAATTAGTTAAAATCGATTAATATGCATGAAATTGTACGTATTAAAATTAAATCTAGATTTGAAGTTTTCTTGACTGCAGGGATCCATACTGTTTTGTTCTTTCGGTAAAGTCACGTAGGTATAAAATAAAATTAATCACGACGTTTCGGGCGCAACACAAGCATCCGTCATCAGTGGGACACCCATAGCAAGAAACAATTGCTGAAGTGGGCAAAAGGGGTGCTTGTGTCAAGAGGCTATATAGGTAAGAGAGGGGGGGGGGCGGAGCCAGGGAGGAGAGATAGAGAGGGTGGGGGTGTGGGGTAGGGAGGATGGGGTGCTGCAAGTGCGGCAAAATTCCGGGGCTAGGAAGTAAGCGGGGCTGGGGGTAGGAGGAAAATAAGCACAGCAAAATGCCGGGGCTGGGAAGTAAGCATGGCTGGGGGTAGGAAACTAGCACGGTAAAATCCCGGGGCTGGGAAGTAAGCGGGGCTGTGGGTAGGAGGCTGAAGAAAACTGGAGATGCAGATATGAAGGCAAACTATAAAGCAGTTAAGGTTTTACCTGGTTAATAACATAATTCCAATGATTGCTCAATTTGTATCCATCTTCTCGGTTTAAGTTATATCTATGTTTATATATCTGGATGGCTTCATGAACAAATCTTTGATAGTAGCTGGAAGGTTTGCAGAGCACCTTGGTCTCGGAAAAAACGATATCATGAGAGCCCACAGTGTTATAGCAATGGTCAGCCACAGCAGAGGTATTAGTCCTGCCGTGTTTCAGATCTGCCTTGTGCTCGCGAACACGGTCCGATACATGCAGTTTCGTTTCCCCAATGTAAGAATCACCACAGGAGCAACTTAGTTTGTAGAGGAGAAATAGGTTTGCGAATAATGCGGTCCGAGTACCCATTCATCTTGAGGGCCTGGTGTACGTGTTCCAGTTCACTGGCTAGGTGGTGTTGGTCAAAAATGCAGTGGACCCTATGGTGTAGTGTTTTGATGAGGGAATTCTTCTGTGCCGGATGGTGGTAGGAATCAGGTTTCAGATAGGAATCTGTGTGGGTGGCTTTCCTGTAGACAAAGTGTCCCAACGAGCCATCAGGTCTCTTCTCGAACAAAACATCAGGAATGGTAGCTTATCATCCTTCTCCACTTCCATGGTGAATTTGATAAATGGGTGTATGGAATTGATGTGGTTGAGAAATTGGTTCAGTGCTGGCAGGCCATGTGGCCAAATGACAAAGTGTCATCCACATATCTCTTCCACAAGGAAGGACGTAGGGTGGATGTCTGGATGGCATCTGTTTCAAATTTCTCCATGAAAACATTCGCTATCACTGGTGATAAGGGGAAACCCATAGGGGTACCTTCATTTTGTTTGTAGAAAGTAAGGCAGTGCCTAACCAGAGTAGGAACATCAGCGTTCAGTCCATGTTGAACTAAATCTTCAATTACAGTGAGGGAAAAAGTATTTGATCCCCTGCTGATTTTGTACGTTTGCCCACTAACAAAGAAATGATCAGTCTATAATTTTAATGGTAGGTTTATTTGAACAGTGAGAGACAGAATAACAACAACAAAATCCAGAAAAACGCATGTCAAAAATGTTATCAATTTATTTGCATTTTAATGAGGGAAATAAGTATTTGTCCCCCTCTCAATCAGAAAGATTTCTGTCTCCCAGGTGTCTTTTATACAGGTAACGAGCTGAGATTAGGAGCACACTCTTAAAGGGAGTGCTCCTAATCTCAGCTTGTTACCTGTATAAAAGACACCTGTTCACAGAAGCAATCAATCAGATTCCAAACTCTCCACCATGGCCAAGACCAAAGAGCTCTCCAAGGATGTCGGGGACAAGATTGTAGACCTACACAAGGTTGGAATGGGCTACAAGACCATCGTCAAGCAGCTTGGTGAAAAGGTGACAACAGTTGGTGCGATTATTCGCAAATGGAAGAAACACAAAAGAACTGTCAATCTCCCTCGGCGTGGGGCTCCAGGCAAGATCTCACCTCGTGGAGTTCCAATGATCATGAGAACGGTGAGGAATCAGCCCAGAACTACACGGGAGGATCTTGTCAATGATCTCAAGGCAGCTGGGACCACAATCACCAAGAAAACAGTTGGTAACACACTACGCCGTGAAGGACTGAAATCCTGCAGCGCCCGCAAGGTTCCCCTGCTCAAGAAAGCACACATACATGCCCGTCTGACGTTTGCCAATGAACATCTGAATGATTCAGAGGACAACTGGGTGAAAGTGTTGTGGTCAGATGAGACCAAAATGGAGCTCTTTGACATCAACTCAACTCGCCGTGTTTGGAGGAGGAGGAATGCTTCCTATGACCCCAAGAACATCATCCCCACCGCCAAACATGGAGGTGGAAATATTATGCTTTGGGGGGGGGTTTTTCTGCTAAGGGGACAGGACAACTTCACCGCATCAAAGGGACGATGGACGGGGCCATGTACCGTCAAATCTTGGGTGAGAACCTCCTTCCCTCAGCCAGGGCATTGAAAATGGGTCGTGGATGGGTATTCAAGCATGACAATGACCCAAAACACACGGCCAAGGCAACAAAGGAGTGGCTCAAGAAGAAGCACATTAAGGTCCTGGAGTGGCCTAGCCAGTCTCCAGACCTTAATCCCATAGAAAATCTGTGGAGGGAGCTGAAGGTTCGAGTTGCCAAACGTCAGCCTCGAACCCTTAATGACCTGATGGCCAACTACAAGAAACGTCTGACCTCTGTGATTGCCAACAAGGGTTTTGCCACCAAGTACTAAGTCATGTTTTGCAGAGGGGTCAAATACTTATTTCCCTTATTAAAATGCAAATCAATTTATAACCTTTTTGACATGCGTTTTTCCTGGATGTTGTTGTTGTTATTCTGTCTCTCACTGTTCAAATAAACCTACCATTAAAATTATAGACTGATCATTTCTTTGTCAGTGGGCAAGCGTACAAAATCAGCAGAGGATCAAATACGTTTTCCCTCCCTGTATATAGCCTCTCGACACAAGCACCCCTTTTGCCCACTTCAGCAATTGTTTCTTGTTGTGGTTGTCCCATCGAATGACGGACGCTTGTGTTGCGCCTGAAATGTCTTGATTTAATTTATTTCATTTTATACCTACGTGACTTTACCGAAAGAACCAAAGAGTATATTAAAATGCTATTATTTGGACTCATGCCTCTATTATGTGTTTTTATCTCAGTAAACTGACTAAATGTGACAAAACATACGAGGAGGGTAGACTGATGCCATGCTTAGTCTGTCATTCGGTGGTTATGTTTCCAGCTGCTTCCACCTCTCTGCTGTCGTCTGCTTCATCCCCTGCCCGGTCCCTTCCCCTGGTGTGTGTTGATCCGCAGGCTTCATTCAGCTCTACGCGCATCTGTTGCGGGAGAGGCGGCTGGTGCTGAGAGTCGTGCAGGAGCACAAGGTTGACTGAGCCTGGCCGCGCGGAACCCCCCGACCCCAATTGTGACCCCGACCCCGCCGCGCATGAGCTCGCGTGTGTTTTGCATGGTCCCGCGGAGAGTGAGCTCCTACTTGAATTGGACAAGTCACGTTTGGCCTTCTGAGGCGACTTTCCAACGTGGGCACACAAGAGAATGATCCCTCCTCTTGTAACTGAACAATGGAGTACACCTCGTTGTCATAGTAGTGGTAGGCCATGTGTGCTGGCGCCACGGTACAAGATCATAATATTTGATAAACTATTGGCAAATGTCTTAATTGGAAAGAGACTATAGCAACATCGCCCCCCCCCCCGACTTGTCAGATGCTAATGCCCATTTGTAGGCCTGTGCTCTGGGCACCTGACGCCACCGCACGAGGACAGCTGCCAGCGGGATCCCTTGAGTTAGACTGCGGCAGGGCTTTGGAATGGTGGAGATGAGATGTGAAGTAAGGCGGTTTGAGTTCCCGAGGTATTCAAGCAAGTGCCCCATCAATGCAAATCCATACACTTAATTGGTGGTCTGTTTAAACGTGGCTGCATGTGCCATAGGCAATAATTGTGGTCTGCTTGCAAGGACACAGGAGGATAAGGAGTCGGTGCAGGGGTGGCATGGTTCGCAAAGCTGATCCGTGTAGCTTCCCCTCTCCCAGAGCCGCCATGCGGCAGAGGTGGGACAAAGTCATTGTTATGCAAGTCCAAGTCGAGTCTGAAGTCATCAAATTCATGACTCGAGTCTGACTCGAGTCCAAGTCACATGACTCGAGTCCACACCTCAGAGGTGGGACAAAGTCATTGTTATGCAAGTCCAAGTCGAGTCTGAAGTCATCAAATTCATGACTCGAGTCTGACTCGAGTCCAAGTCACATGACTCGAGTCCACACCTCTGCCATGCGGTACGGTTAGAGACGAAACGAGGCTTCTTGGTTGAATGCTTTCAAAGGCAGCTTTTACCTTCTCATGCAATGGATCCATTTCATTGTTGAAATTATCTCCGGGTTGTTATTTATTACAGAACACTTTGGATTGCTGATTTATGCAGTCTATTTCTCAAAATATACGGATTCGATGTGTCCAAGGAGTTGTGCTGTCATGTTTTTTTACTCTTGAGTGTCTAAGCAGCAGTGCCACTGACCCGGTCCTTAAAGGCCGCAGAGGCTTTCCGGTCTTCATTCTGTCTGAGATCTCAATTATTGAATCTCTTGAATAATTATCTTAACCAGACCCAGTTTTCATACCGTTTTCAGCTGTACACTAAGCAGTTGAAGATTTCGAGTTGCAGCTCTTGAGAACCAGAGTTGTGCCCCGAGGTTTTTCCTAAGACCTAAGTCTTCTAGGGACATTCGAATTCCCGATTTTTATCAGTTGTATAATAGTAATACAGGCATACCTCAATTAGCACGACCCCATAGAACACTGATTCATTATAGCTCTCTTTGTCCTGGAGAACATTTTTACCAAAAAATTAAGAAAATTCAAAAATCGAAACAGTGCTCAGGAGTGATAACACGCAAGAGTGCTGGCTGAGGAAATGTACCCGCCCCAATCATTGTCTCAGCCAATGAGAGTGACGCACGCTCTTAGCTAACCAGACCCCACCCCCCGCAATTAATTACGATTAATAGTCACGATTACGTATATATTTTTGATATTACAGGTGTAGTGGTGTACTTGGAGACACACACTCTGGAGTTTGAGGCAACACGTTTATTAACAACTTTCCCTCACGAGATAACTCTAAACGTATACTGGTTCTATAGTTAGGTGTGGCTACACTGTTAACTATGTGAATAGCGAGTTAACTACACAAACGGGTCACTGAGCCTAATACGCTGCCTGACCCACGATGCCGAGCGAAGACCGAAGACTCGGAGACGACGAGGCGCAGGACCCCAGGATTCATACAGCAGGCTCCCGGCTCCCCCTCACGAGCGCTCGAGCCCCCTTCCGGGCCCCCTTGCTACCCTGTCTCCAGGACTACGCCCCCTAGGGCCTGCTCGCATGCCGCACTCGCTCCGGCCCTCCGAGAGAGGTTGCACGCGCACAGCCGCACTCCTGGGGTAGTAGCTGGTGCTGTCTAGTGCCATCATTAACGCCACTACACAGCCATTCCTCGACTTACGAACACGCGATTTATGAACGCCCGCACTTACGAAGCAGCTTACATGAAATATATATTTTCACACTGACTTGAAACGCAGACTCGCACCTGCAAATTGAACCGAGGAACTATTTTGTACAGTGGAGCGATTTCCCACGAGATGTAATGAGTCAGCCTCGCACTGGGAGTAATTGTTTGTGTGTGCGCATGCACACGTGTGTGTGTGAGAAAGTGTGTGGGGAGCGGTAGTGCAGCGATTAGCACTCTGCGCTACGAAAGCGGCGACCCGAGTTCGATTCCCGCTCACGGCGAACACCAGTGAAGATTATCTGAAGCTGTTCTGGGCCTCCCCCTTGGTCGACTCATCATCAAATGAGTACCTGGTGTGGTATATAAACATTTCCACTGGGGAGACAGGAGGTCGGGCGAGGTGCTGATCACCCACCCCCTCGTGTACCGTTCCGGCCTTCACAGGTGCTCGCCAATAGCACTTGCCCCAAAGATCTGTTAAGGCTATATGGCGGATCTTTGTGTTTTGTCTTTGTGTGTGTGCACGCGTGCCCCCGTGTGTACAATTGTGGTTACTCATTGCGCCCTTTTTGACAAGCAAGCCAACATCAGGACTCAAAGTAAGTGAAAATGAAAGTTTTTTTAATTTGTTACTTTATATTTTATTTTCTATACAGTATTTTTTACAATGTTACATGCAAATCTACAATATTTATTTATGAGATTAATAATGCTTCCCTTTTTTGTTGAACCTTAACATGTTTCATAACACTGACCAAATGGACATTTATATACACAACACATTACTGTATTGTGTTCTGACTTACGAACCATCCGACATTCGAATGGGCATCAGGACCTAATTGTGGTCGTAAGCCGATGACTGTTCTAAATTACCTTTAGCCAAGTGAGAATTCACGAGGGCAGAGTAGAGAGTCTCGGACTCCCCCCAAAAGAATCTTCACATAAATTAGGACTGAGGGCATCACTAAGATCACGGAGGTCCTGGAGTTCTCAGAGAAAGACCCCGGATTGTGAGCGCAGCAGCAGCTCCTCCAACCTCATCTCCCACCGCTGTCTTTTAGGAGGAGTACGTTAGAATCCACTCATGAGTACACTACATACTGTTGATATAATTTAGAATTTGTATTTATTAAATAATGTTACCATTTGTATTATTAGTGCGATTACTGATACCCCAATGAACCCCTGATATATTGCTCATACAAAAGAAATAACATCGGCAATGCATCCCCATATATGTGTAGTGACATAGCGTTGACTGTTGTACAGCAGCTGCAGCTGGGCATGAGCGGGAAGACTATGCTCAGCTCCGCAGAGCTAATACCGCTGACAGCTAACGATGCTGTTAGGCTCTTAATTAATGAGGTATGTGTCCTAATGGACTCATACATTTTTTTAATATTGCACCGTTACCCTCAATGTACATCAGCATATGCTTTGCTTATACTTTTTAAAATTATACATCATTTCTTAAATGCATAAAAATCTGATAAATAAAAACCAGGGTAAAAACAACCGCAATACAAAATACATTAAAAACAGTGCACACATATAAGGGGCCGTCCATAAATGACGTCACGCGATTTTGGACGATTTTTGACCCCCCTCTCGTCACACGGCGTCACAAAAAGTCAGACCCCACCTCAAATATGACGTCACAAAGCTCTGCCCCCCCCCCAAACCATATTTCCATTTTGAAAATAAAACATGCTTTAATTCGCTTTAAACTATTGTCATTGTAGTGCATATTTAATGTGGCGCTGCACTCTGATGTTGTAGGAGAAAACATTTATTTTAAAAATCTATTTAATTAAGTAGAACGTGTTGTCTACATTTACTTAAAGTTGCGCATTTTGATGTCACGTCATATTTCTCACCCCCCCCCCTCGTCATGCATCGTCACAAATGTCTGACACCCCACCCCCCCAAATGCGTGATGTCATTTATGGATGGCCCCTAAATAAACATGAAATCACATTTCCTGAAACAAAAGTTTGTAAGGACAAGTCACTTCTTCATCGTGAAAATGTCTTGGTGACATTAAGTTACAGAAACGTCAACATGGATTAATGTTTATTATTGCACTTGTATGTAAATAGACAAGGTGTAACGGTGTGGATGGATCCTGTCGCCTCGGGGTGGGGGGGGGTGCTATTGTGGAGGGGAAAATCCTCCAAGCCCACCGTCTCCGGAAGCCAAGGCGCCACAAAGTCTGACCTTGACTGGGGGCGGGACACGAATTGGCCAGTCAGGGGAGGCCAATTGGTGTGGGGCGAGGGGCAGTCGACGGGGCTGTGCGTGAGTGTTCGGTATGAATCCTTGCAGTCACGAAAGCTTCAAATCTAGAATTGTGCGTGATTGTTTGAAGGGCTTGTGTGGTTCCGCACTGCACGTACCAAGTTGATTGACAGAGGCTGTGAGGGCGGGACTAAATTTGTATATTTGTCCGGGCCGGCATTACTTAGTTGCTGCAGCACGCTGATGTTGTATGAGGGGCTCGGTGGCTGGGACTGTTGTCGGTGCTGCTGCAGTTGTGTGGACTGGGCGGTGCACGGTGCTGTTGGTGCGCGGAGTCGCTTTGTGCAGTGCTGCGGGGTGGACGCGTCGGTGGCTGGGACAGCTGTTGCACCAGTGGCGGCTCGTCAATAGAGGGCGCAGGGGCGCCGCCCCCATCAATATTCAAGAAATATACATATACAAAATTTATCAAAAAATACATAAATAAAATATTTTTTTCATACGATGTGCCGGCTGGTAGTAAGAAAAGCATCAGCATTTAATAAAAACTGGCTTTAATCGGTCAACTATTTTCTATGTTTTTCAATGTGTTTCATGCGGGGTGCCGGACAAATGGATGTCTATGTGAGACTTAAAATTTTCGGACAGCATGTGACCTGAAGCTGGTCTCTAATTGGTTTCTTAAAGATTCTCCTCGGGGCGCAAGTCGTTGCGTCCCTGGCCAATCAGAATTGGATACATGTTATTTTATCCAATCTGATTGGTTCTCGTCACCTGTCATTCAAATTTACGCTCTGGGCCACTACTGCGAGTGCGCAGGCGACACCACTTTGACACTTGCTAGGCTGATCAAATTTTTTGTGTAAACAATGGCAGCAGTTCATCCAAATTCTGTAATTTATTTACAAAAAAACCCTTTCACAAGGCTTTCGCTGGAAGAAATAAAAAAGATAAAGGATCTCGGACCGGACCAACCCGATTTACAAATCCAGCAGCAGGCCAGTGACAGAGGACGAAGCTACACACGAAGCTTCACCCGCGCTTGTTATGAGAAACGGAGGTGGCTGGCTGGATGTGATGTTAGCAATTCTCTTTTTTGTTTTCCCTGTCTTTTATTTCAAAGTGTCGGCACTGAAGTTTTGTGGACAACGACGGGGGTAAGAGACCTCAAACATCTCTCTGACAAATGCAAACGTCATGAAAGTAGCCGCAGCCATATTGATAATAGCATGAAACTAACGTTTTTATGTTCAAGTAGGAAACATGCTTTTTGGTACTTTGGTCTGAAATGTATATAAAAGAGAAACATTTATGTTCAAGTAGGAAACATGCTTTTTGGTACTTGGGTCTGAAATGTATATAAAAGAGAAACATTTATGTTCAAGTAGGAAACATGCTTTTTGGTACTTCTTTTGGTCTGAAATGTAAATAAAGATCATCAAAATTTATATTCAAGTAGTCAAAATGGTTTTTGGTACTGCTTTATATTTATTTGCCCCCCTCAATAAAATAAAAAAATGCGCCCCCCAAAAAATAAATATCACCAGCCGCCACTGTGTTGCACCGAGTCGCTGTGAGCGCTGTTTTGGGTGCGAGCCGGGACCCGGGCCTGCTGAAGTGTTGAGTCGCTCAGAGCACTGCTGGAAGCTCCAAAACCAAGTCCCGATAGTGCAGCTGCGTTGAGTTGTTCAGAGCCCTGTTGAAAG